CACAGCTACATGTCTAAATCAGTAGTGTTATATTCAACAGTTGGCTGAAAACCAATGTTCCCATTTAAATCAACCACTTAGCAGCCTAGCTGCACACTTTTTACATTTTTTAACCTGATAATCTCTAATTATTCTAGTTTAGAATTCCATTGAAACAGGGTGCAGAGTCCTTTTACAAATATTGTTCTTTATTTTAATATTGCCTAATTTAAAAGGAAAATATTTCAGATATTAACAGCATTTTTTGAGGGGAAAAAAAAAGCATGAAAACCATTTCTGTTCCAAAAATTGCTGATATGAGGACTTATGGGAAACAGCTCCTTTTATGAATAATTATTATTATTGTGTTTAAGAAATGGGCAAGATGCCTAGAAATTGAATGAAAGAATGAGCTATTAAATTGAAATATTAAATTAAATAACTGAATTAAAAGTGATCATGTAAACCCTGCAGTAAATGTTGGGAGCTGTAGCTGATTGAACATGTTTTCATCATCTGTTTTGTATGCTTAAATACAATTGCTTGATGTAAGTAAACACTTGATTGATATTCTGAATACTTTAAAATCTGCATATGCATCACAGAATACTGAACAATTAAAACTTAATTTCAGTGTAGTTTGATTACATGTAAATTATTTCAATATTCATTTTTTCCTGTTCTGTTTGCTCAGTGCATATTTAATATTCACTTTTTGAATGCATATCACCCTTGATTGGACTGTGAGATGAGGATGACTCTGAAATTTCTTCCATTAAAAAGGATTGCCTTATAAATATTATTTGTGCCACAGCTCTTCCCCTGCATTTTCTAAATGTTGTATGCCCTTATTGAAGGCAAGGAAAAAAACTGCTGCAGCCCTCCTTTATCAGCCCAGCACAAGGAATATGCTTACATGGTCGATGGGCACGTCTAAGAAGGCTTGTTGGTTGTAACTAGTCCCTAAAGAAATGTTTCCATCTTTTTTGCACTATATTTCTCTCTTTCTTGCATGATCTCTCTCTCGCTTCCCTTTCTCCTCCCTCCACATGATTTTTTTTTTCTGATTCCTGTACTTCTTATGAGATGTTTTAATATGATGGGTACATATTACAAATATTTCCATGTTGACCATTTTCAGCCTGAAAAAAATGTATCTCTGAGTGACCGCATTCAATTTAGGTGTTGTGGAATACAGATGACAAAATTCCGCCTTCTGATCTGTTTGTAGAAGCTCTCATAAAAACTGAGGAGACTTATTTTCCCTTCTCCGCAGGCTGCAATCCATGCACATTGTTTTGATCTGTGGTATTTAAAATGACCTTACTTCTGAACATCCAACAGGAGGAAACTGTGGGTATTTGATTCTCTTTTTATTTATGCCAGTGAAAAGAACAGCCTTTCTGAAGTTAATAGAGAATATTATGGGGTTTTTGTTACTTATATATTTTATTTAAAAATAAAATACAAGCAGGCAGCCAGTCTGCCACTCGAGCATGGACGATGGATCTGGATTCTTCTCTGCCTTGACCATTTTTTGACCCACATGACCCTTGTCATATCACATTTCCCCTTTGTTTCCTTGTCCATACAACAGATGTACTAACAGACATATTTTTAAATATTTGTAGAATAGGTAGAAAGGTTGCATAAGTGCATCTAATAACAGTATTATTTTATTATATGACAATTTGAACTTAATGTTGTATGTGCTAAACAGCTTGCAGGGAAGTGTTTTCTGTCCTATAGTTAGTTAATCACAGTTTGAGAGCTGAAGGTCATATTTCTGTTGGCTGTCACTTTGACCAAACAAGTGGCTGAACTTCATGGTTTACGGGCAGATTCCCTTATCTCTCTTTTTCAAGAGACATGTAAGTCTTGATTGCTGGAGTTATTGTGAAGCAAGCAGTAAGTAACAAGGTGGAGGGAAGGGCAGGAAGACACTCACTTCAAGACCAGTACCCTGTAGATGCCATTTTAGAAAGCAAATATTATATCTTGTAATTGTAGCACAAGAACGAAAGGGAGGGAGTTTTGCTTGGGTTTTGGGGTTTTTTTTCTTTGTTATTTGAGGAGCTGATAAAATATAAGTGAAGCGTGCTAGCAATAGCAAGAGGTCTTCCCATGACAAAACATGCTTATAAACCAGACATTTTTAGCTCAAGGCCTATTTCATGCTGAACAGAACCCTCTCTGATTGTTCCTGTAGAATAAAAACAACACAACTTCCATGCCAAAGAGACACAAAATAACAAGTATCTTCTAGTAGAGCTAGTTTAAAAAACCCTGGACATTCCTGACAGATTTAATACTGTTTGCCTAAGTAATACAAACTCGTCACTCTTGTTTGAAACCTCCAAGTTATTTTAAAGCAATTCCATTTATGATAATTTATGAAGTATCTGTGATTGTTATTTCAAGCTCTTATGTCTTGTGAAGACCATTTCTTGGATGGTCTTTTTTTTTCCCCTCAGTACAGATCTGAAAATAATGAGCTAGCTTCACAGTTTTGTGAATAGGGGCCATAATGAGGCTGAAGTATGTATATTGATTAAAGGAGAAAAATTTGAAATCTTTGTGAAACAGCAAAGAAATTACAGCTTTAAGGCCATGATTCCATTCTGCAAGTCGATCAAACAAAAAAGTTACTTTAGATTTTTTGTTTGCAGGCGTTTTTGCCTTGACTAAAGCAAATGTCATTCAAATAGTCTGTATAGTTATAACTTTCGAAAAACAAAATAATGATGCAGATATTCTTCTTAGATAGTCGTATGGCCGGTTTCTGTTCGCTTTCCAATTTCCCCTCCAAGTACTAAGAATATATATTTAATCCATAATTGAAAAGAAAAATGTGCTGGAAAAAGATATACATGATAGCTATTCAAGATACGTATATTTTAACATGTACTTATTTGTCTTAATTAAAGCATAGCCTCAGAAGCAGCATTACAACACAATGTATTTTAATGGAAAATCCTTCACAGAAAGCATGTTAAAAAGCTTTGGATACGTAGATGTGCATGATAAAACACTGGTGCACTGTCTGTTCCCCAGTGATCAAGAGGTTAACCTTAATTCATCTCTTCCCCTCCCTTAAACAGGTTCTGTGAGGAGGGCTGCAAATTAGTGCTTGGAAGACACAGCAGGAGATTAGCTTTAGGGAGGAAAGGACTCCCCACTCCAGCTCTTAGGAACCTCACCTGGAGAGTGCATTTCCTTTTCTACTTAAGCTAACGTATTATGCCTTCTTGTCACGAATGTTATTCCTTGAGGAGAAGTCCTCACTGGTTCTGTCTCGCAATCTGCTGAATCATTCCAAACCTGCGGTAGAAGAGAAGAAAGGAATAAGCCTGTGGCAAGAGGGAGGCAGAAATCTGCTTAGGCTTTTGCCAGAAGGAGGAATCCCAGTATGTTACATCATATGGGACTCCTTCACCCACCAAAGGGAAGGATTCCCATGTTTCCTCTTGTTCACACTGGCCTGAAGAAGAGCTACAGCATGGCCCACTGCTTCCTAATATACCCTTAAGGTACAGAACTGTATAAATACTGGCATCCATATGATGCTGTCTGACAACATTTGTTGGACAGACACAAACTACACCTTTCTATCACTGAGAAATCACAAGGCTGCTTTTTCCCCATTGGGACAAAGAAAAGGTCCACTTCCCAGATTTCAAGCATCTACAACTGATCTATTGTTGAAATTGTTAACAAGTGAAAAGGGGGAAACTTTACCAGTAATGGGAAAATACAGAAATCATTCTATATAGAATCAATCTTTTACTTCACAACTGAAATGAAATTGGAGTGTTTTGTTGTTCTGGATATCCAATAATAATAGTGCCAAATAGGGATCTTTTTGTAGGGATTTTTAAACAGTTTAAAAAGTGTGGTAGAAGAAAACATGTACAAATAGAATCACTTTTTCACAGTACTGAGTGATCATCATAGTGACAATGCCTAGTATGAGAGCCATTAGCCCAATGCAGAATTTGCCAGCGTGATCAGTGTTTGCTGGTGCAATGTTGTATATATATTCTCAGAAAGCTTCTGATGGGTATCTTGTTTCCTCCTGCTTCTGTGGAATTCCCAAGGATTGCAAACAAGAGGATATACATAGCCTTCCACAGTGCCTCCATCCCACGTTGGTATTTGCTGTAGCTGCCAAGAGATGTTGTATGGTCTGTGGGTAGGAAGAAAGCAGCAGTCTGTGTCATTACAAATGGAAGGAGCTGTTGTTCAGCAAGCCAGCAACTCACCAAAGTAATGGTCTCAGTGTGCCATGATACAGCCCTCCTGGGTTAACAGTAAAGGTGAAGTTCCACATCCATGCTGTTCCCTTCCTACTCTGCTGCATCTCTAGGTGATACTCAGGTGGTGCCTTCTAGAGCATATTTAGAGGTAAATTTTGCTTGTGAATTTTGCTCTTTTTCCCTTTGTTTTACCTCATTGACACAATCTTTTTCACCATAGGGTCTTCAGAAGGCTCTCAGGAATGTGTGCTAATACTGGGCTGAGGGAGTTAGGAGGCAAAGCAATGTCACCCCTACTTTTTTCTGTCCCTGAGGATTCATGACTGTTTAGTATGACTTGACTGGTTTATCATCTTCAGAGAGCTGTATTGAGGGGTCTGTGAGGACAAAATTCAATGCAAACTTCTACAAGGACCTCTGAAGTCTTGTGAGATTTGGGGTTAGTCTTTTCTGCATGGGATTTTGAGGTTCCTACCTATGTTATTGGGGTAGCATTTATTTATGTTGTGACTGGTATCTTTCAAAGGATCAATTTGTTATGAGCTACAGTACCTTCAGCTCCCTTCAGATTCAAATAGGGACTCTTGCCGAAGGTTTTAAACGATGAAGAAGTTCTACAGTCTGAGTATGAGTGTATCAGGTTTCCCCAATAAACCTTTGGCATCACTTTTTGGGGGAATTCAAGGACTTCATCTGCCCATTAACAAAATTTGTTGCAGCTCTTAAATTATTCTTATCAAGTGACATGTTTCCTTTTTCTTCCAGGTATCAGAGATTTGAAAAAGCGTTTCTGCTAGCTGTTGACATAGGCGCTCGGGACCTGTTTATGGTGAGTCATTTCAGGAGACAGAGGCTGTTATCAGGATGTTAGTTGTCAGCTTTTGTGCACATTAAAATGGATCCATGTCATTCAGACACATACTGAAGATAGAACTATTCTACCTGGTTTGACCTTTGCCATCATGAAACTCATCAACAGGAATTGAGTATCTTTAGAGTCATTGACATTTTCCCTAGCATGGCCTAAGGGATATTCTTTATTTCCCAGGAATTAATGTATATGTTTTTGAACTTTCCCCTTCTTCATCTGTCCTGATGTGGGTGAATGTCATCTTTCACTCTAATAAGCTTATACGTTTCTAATCCATTCCTTTAAGAAGTACAACTGCTGAGTCCTGGACACAAGAGCTGGCCATATCCTGGGGATTCTGAATGCTCTTAGTTTGTCTCTTAGGATTTTGTGAAAAGTGACAAATTATGAACGCTTCTGCAGGTACTTTTTAAACAACAAAGCTCAGCAGCATCAACCCAAGGGTTTTTACATTTCTTACACTCTCTGCCACCTCCCATTTAATTAGCTACAAAAGTAAAATTAACCAGCTCTTAAAAGGTCCTTTGTGTGAGATCTGCAGGAGGCCCTTGTTTTATAACATCTTGCACCACAATGTCACAGTGAGGTCAGATGGACAAAGCCAATCCTGCTTTCCTAGGCTCTCAGCATGTTGCTGCTCCACAGCTCACTTCATTGTTTTCAAGAAACAATAGGAAAAGGGCTTGTTGAAAAAAAGGCCCTTTGAACGATTCGTTTGCTTGACTCTTTTGCATAATGAAGACATTCTGTTGTTTAAATTAAGCTTTGACTCTAGATGTTAATATCATTTATCCCATTAAGTCACTTGCCCTGCTAGTTTGATCTTGATATTTAAATTGTATGTTAAATTACACAATTAAATCCTGCTTCTATGGGTTATGAAAATTCCCTTCTAATTATATAAAAAATTGTGTGAACCTTTTGATGTTTTTTTCACAGCTCTAATCATCTGGCTTGTTCCATCTAATTAGAAAGATGTTAATACTGCGATAAACTTTTCTAAGTATGCATCAAAAGAATGTGATGGAAATGTCAGTCTTTTAGGAAATGCATTACATGTTTTAGGTTTACTTTCCTCAATTTTTCCTCTTTCTAGCTCAGCTTTTTCCTTTTCTCTTTTTATTTAATATAACATTTTCAATACAAATTTTATACCTAATAAAGCTAAGCACTACTGTAAGCTGTGCAGCAGGTTACAGCTTTTTGTTGGGGGCTCTCCCACCACAGAACTAATAAATCCTCCCTGAGTAATTTCAGCCATTCTGGCAGTACAAATGACCCAGCATTTAATCTGCCATCTCAGGGACCCTCCCTTATATGGCTGAAATAATTTCCTACATGATCTTTTTCTCTTTCCTTTCCTCTATTGACAGCAGGACTGAGGAAGCATCTCTGTCCCAGGGTGGGGAACACCAGCATTGAGTAAGGGCATGGGTGCAAAGATGCCAACAATAGGGAGAGACTGTCCGTAACTGGCTCTACAAGCGGTAACAAATCCTCCTCTCAACAAAAAGGTTCTCCAGTTTTATTCAGTAGGAGTTTCAATGTTCACAGAGAAGCTAGTTCCATCCCTTCCTATTCTTCTTTGTTTTGCTATTCCTCTCTCAACACCTACTCTCCATTTCCCATCTCACCAGTGCTCTCGAACATAAATATGTATTTCCACATAGTTCCTTCTGGCTTACATTACTGCGAGGTCAAAACCAGCTCTTTATTGTCCTCATTCTACTTGCGTTACCTTTGAGATTCCTCCTAGTTGCCCCTAAATTATGCAACAAGCAGGTATTAGTATAAAAATACTATTGTTAAGCAAGATTTGTGCGTCTTTCACTTCTGCATAACACTAAATAATTTGTATGTATTGTTTATATAGGTCAAAATGCAATTAATGATCTACAACTTTGACTATATTTAAAGCATTCATAATTATGCGCAGTATGAGTAACTAATGTATAGGTCAATTATTTGTACTGTTGTTTTACAGACCAATGAAATCAGTTTATAAAACCTTACATGGCTCTAGGAGTCACTCCACCTTATTCCCAGTTAATTTAATGGGGTTTCAAGAAGAAATAGTAGACCAAAGAAAGATATCTGATGATATAAGTGAAATGAGAAAGAAAAAATATATTTATTAAAGGGTAACAGAGAAGGAAAAAAAAGGAAAGGATAGAGAAGAACAGATGTAACAGATGCTGAGGAGGATCCAAATGTTGAATACCCATCTTTCGCAGACTTCTAAGGATATGTCCTGTGTCTTGAAGAATTTATCCCGAGCATCCTTTACATCAGACAAGGCTCTTCAGCATTCCTGTTATTTGTTTTGAGGTTGCAAAGAAATTTGAGAGAATGCTATCTGAGGTCTAATTTCTTTCACAGAAATGAAAAAGGAAAAAAAAAAGGGCTTGAAAGCTCGTCCTGTAGCTATAGCGTCACTAGTGTGATGCCATAGCAAGACACACAGACACTGCTGTGTCTCCCCGTAAGCTTTACCCCCACGTCACATCTAAGTACATCAATTATTATCATCTCCTACAAAGTTCAATAAAAAAATAAAACTGAAAAGGACATAATATCATGAACAACAGCTACATTTATTGGACAGTGACTGATCCAATCTGTGACAGAAAAGATCAAGCAATAGAAGGGTTGTTAGCTTTAAATCCTTTTGTAGTATGCTCCAGCTCTCAGCTGCTGAAAATTCAAAAGGCCATCCCACGTACCAAAGGTAGCAAAAAATGCAAGGAAAAGACACTTTAATAAAACTGTCAGATCTTGGGTGATACACTGATGAGGAAAGTGCATATTTTGAAGAAACGTTGGAATTTTGCCCAGAAATATCCTATAGACAAATGCACGTCAGTGTTTCAAATAACTTCTGCTCACCAAGGGCCGGCTCAGTGAGTCACAAAGATGAGCGTAAAAAGGAAGTAGTCCAAAAAGTATTCAAACTGTTAAATGATAAAATACAGCCCTTCCAGCAAACTCCTCATGAGCAGCTGGAAATTGTTTTTATTGTCACCATTATTTTTGAGAGGGACATGATCTTTGAACTGATAAATTCTTTGATAATTGTGTGAAAACATCTGTAATATTCAGCTAATTTAATTCTTTTTTTTTTTCTGTAATTCTTTAAAGCACCCTGTAATCAAGTGTTTCTTCTTTCTTTCATTTATTTTTCTAGTTTTATTCTACTCAGAGATTCATAAATTCTTAGAAAAATCCATTTTTGCTGGCTTATTTGAGTAAGGAACATCTAAATTTGATCTGAAATTGTCTAATTTGCAGTTTTATATCTGTAATCTTTTCTTTCTAAAGCTTGTTTAGAGATAGAAACAAGAGCTACTTTTTTTTTTTTTTTAATTCTTTATGACAGCATCTTAAGGAACATGAAGAAAGCCACTTACCAGCCGACTGCTTTATCTTTGTTGGTGGTGGATATGTAGCATCTTTACACTTTCTTTACTCAAAACAGAAAACATGGGGAAAAGCCATCTGAAAGTGACAGATGTTTGATACACACAATATGCACAACCTCTTACTTGAAAGATCTTTGTCATTTTCTGCAGTTGTTTCCATCCCCTCCCCAAGTTTGTTATTTAAAATTGCATTGAAGTTTACAACACTTCTCAAAGTTTAAAGTACAAAAAGACAGTCATTCAGCATAGTCAGAATGTATTTTAACTTAGCGAACGCAATCTGCCTATACGTTCAAATCTTTGTAAGTTCAGACTTGTTCAAGAGCCCTTAGGTTTTCTATTGTTATCTAAATAAGCTGACAATATCTACTGTTTAATCTTCACAGAAATCATACCTTGCTACTCAGGCCCTTTCCTCCTGACAACCGTGTTAGGCCTACAAAGGGAGGAAGTACAGAGTTCGCAACAAGTTCGTCACACATTACTTTGCCCCAAGACACTTGCACATTTTTTAAGGCACACCTGTGTTTGTAATTGGAAAATGTTGCCATCTCCTCCCGACTGTTGGGATCCTCCAAGTCAGTACCAGGTTTTCCCGTGTAATCAGTCTCAGTTTCCCTAACAGTCTCAGTTTGCCTGTTATTTTTGATGTAGTTCTTTGGGGTTTGGTGTTGCTTTGTTGTTTGGGGGGGGTTTTTTTATAAAATTAGGGGGTAATAAAAGCATAATCTTTTTCTCCTGTCTGACAGTATTACTCTCACTTTCCAGCTTTTCTTTCTAGAGTAAGGTCAGTTTTTCCTGCAAGAGTTTCTGTCAGTTGATGAAGGCGACAGTAAACTTACACTGAGAAAGATAGTTTCACCTGAAATTTTCTGCATTTGTGAGAATATAGTTGTATTTATGGTATGCAGGGGTCAATATTTAGAGCAAATACCCTTTTTCCCTTTAAATTCCTGCATGCAGATAGATTGCAGAACAATGGCCGGGAGTGACTTAAATCTTTGGTTACTAGTTGGCATCTTCAGCAGAGAAGTGGGGGAAAAAAACTTTGCAAACTGTTCTCGGGTTTCTCTCGCTTCCTATGTCTCAGTTCATGCAAAGAGGAGCCTGTGGCCATGGCGCTGAAGGAAGAGGGGGTTAATTGTCTCTTTATTAGTGGTCAAGGATGAAACTTCACTTCAAGGACCAAAACCAAGGACAGTGAGACTGTAATTTGTCAGCAGAATATATTCTCCCACAAATTGTGCTGTATGTAGTACGGGTGATTTTCACTTCAAAGGTTAACACACAATAAAGAGCCTTGCAGTTCAGAACCCCTGCTGCAGCCCTCTGATTTTTAAACCTAGATTAATGACTAGATCCAGAGTATTGGCAACTGTTCCTGTTAGACAACAGCATTTTTGGAAAGCCCCTTGTGGTCCAAGGGTAACTCAGGAATCATGTCACCTGTGTGGGTGTTAAAACCATTGAGAGACCGTTGTTTCTCAATATCAATATCAGCACAAGGAGGACCACCATCTCTTTCCTCAAAGAACAGTAAGCGGTAACATGACAGCCTCCAAAAAAAAAGAGTCCCAAAATAGCTTTACCCCAAAACTCATGTATTAGGTGAAAACACTTTAAATAGGAGCTCTCATCCAGAAGAGTTCCAGCACTTCAGATTTGGTTTACACAGAGCCACCTCCTATCGACCCTCTTTTAATTCATGTTGTGCCAACAGAAGTTGCCTTAAAAGCAGATAGATTGGTTTCTTTCATACACTGAGTCAATAGCTTCACTTTTATCAGTGCATGATTGGTCAGTGTTTTGTTCATTGCTGTATTCAACAGCACAAGTAAGATAATAAATTTGCATTGGGAGAGAATTAAAATGTAATGGTAGGTTCATCAGTTCCATCTGTGTTTGTGATCTAAATAATAAAAGAACCTCTTTCTTTCAAAATCCCTTTTGTTACTTCTATGGGATTCATTTTAGATTAATCTTTTTTTTTTCTTTTATTTCCAAAGGACATCCATTACCTTGCACTAGATAAGGGTGAATTGGCACTAGCTGAAGTGGCAAAGAAAAAGGCTAATGACATTGATGCAGAATCAATAACTACTAGAATTGGTAAGAATTAATGGTGTTTAAAAAGCCCTTTTTGTTTGAATCAATACTTGTCGTGTACAACATAGTGTTTGTGTTTGTATTTGTAGGGGGGTTATTGTTTCAATTGCATTGTTTTCTTTGAAAGTGAGGCAGTGTTTTTATACCTAACTAAAGAGAGAGGCTTATAAAAATAACATAGGTTTGCCTTTCAGTACCCTTATGAGGATTGTGTCAATGCAACAGCTATGAAGCAAAAAAGATTTATACTATGGCTATACAGAAAAGTTCAGGCTGTACAAACTGAACTGTGTGCAAGAGGTAAGGGACTGAATCTGACAATCTTTGTTCATACCAGTGTTAAAGGCCGGGTAAGGTAATCTCATTCACCTCTAAATATTTGCTCGTGCACACTAAGCCAATAACTGGAGTCACATCATGAATGCTTTGGCAGCATTTGGATGAAGCATTTACTGATGTGAACACAGGCTCAGCAACAGCTTTGCGTGCAGTGGGATTCTTGCAGTTCCATAAGGAATAGCAGTGCAAAAATTGCAGGGTTAGACTCATAGCTCAAACACAGACAACTTTTCAGGCAGGGGAACTCGTAACTCGTTAATTTTCTCTTTGTGTTTCCTTTGAATTGTGATGAAGAGATGTATGACAATATGTAAACCGTTCTGATTTTAGGCCTACAGCATTAACCAAGCAGAAAGGGTCTACAAAACAGTCTAGATAGCTGACCTCCAGCAGAGAGAAAGTAGACAGAGGGGAAAAAAAGAACACAAAATGCTTGTATAAAATATGCACAGTTCTGTTTTGCTTATTCTACTGCCTCTTTGAATATTAGAGGAAATCACTGAGCTTTTGTCCTTGTATCTATGCCAAGAAGTAGAATATGATTAAGACTCAGAAGGAGTCAGAAAACCTTTGAGATCTTGGGTAACATAGGATTCTTTTAGAACTGTACATCTTGGTGTTTAACCAGAGCATACTAGCAAATGCCATTCAAATATATATAAATGCATGTGCGCTTATGTGGCTATTTCTGTATATTGTATAAATCCATTACTTTCAAGGCTATGCAGTACAGTATCACCTCTATCTCCAGCAGAGTAGAAATCAAGCAGTACCTGTCCTGAACTCTTTTCTTCAGGGTCTTTCATTTTCAGGTTTAAGACACTTCAAGCATTTTTTGCACCACAGCTGTGACTTCGGGCAAGCCCTTTCACCACTAGAATTGCCAAAACTGACATTTGTTTAGGTGATCTATTACTGGGCACTCTTTAGTGTATGGTTACGTCTCCCTTGCTTTCTCTTCTGTTACTTCTTAGGTTGTCTTCTGCACCTAATATAACTAAGATACCTAAGACTCATCTCTTATCACTATCTTCTTACACTTAATCCGGAAAATTTAAGCCTTAATTTGTGTCTTCATTTAAGTCCTTGCAAGCTAAAGATGTTACTAGATTTCTGAAGTTAGGCTATTTTTTTAAGTTTACTGAGAGCCTTATATAGCACTATAAGCATTTATACAAAGAAAGGGATAGGGAAGAAACCTGAGGGGCTCTCAAATGTCTTACTTGCATATCAGATGTAATAGATGTGTTACTACAATTCAGTGATAAATCTGCAGGCACACAGTCTTCCCTTCCTTCAGAGCAGTCCTGCAGTTACCTCTGTAACGCCCCATAAGCATAAATTATTAAAGTAATTTTATATGATAAAGTCTTCAAAGAGTTCTCATTTGCTGAGTAATTGAAATACTTTTCAATGCCCCTGGGACAAACTGTCACTGAGATTCAGTCTACAAACAGTAATGAATTTGCATCCAGTTCATTTTATATGAAAATAAACAGGAATCTCCCATGAGTTCGTTTCACTGCATATTGGATCTCACCTTAAACATGTGAGATCTCAGCCACGTGTTTTGTTTTAGTATACTTTATTCTAAGATCCTTTCTTGATGATGTTTTTGTTTCATAAACTGTTGTTAGCAGAAAAGGTGTCATGAGGCATGAGCTTTGTGGACCCAGTGAAACAAAAGGTAATACATGCTTTATATGTAAATTAAAATATTTATCTAACATTTTGAGAGGGAAAGAAAAACTCATGCAAGAGACAGAAGCTTTAGAATGCAGTTTCGAACAAGTCTCTGTCCCCTAACCATCTCCTAAGCCCAGTCCTCTTCATATAGTCCGTGCTCTCTGGGGCTTTCAACCACTCAGTTCACTGATGGTCACGCTTCCCAGACCAACCCCCAAACTTCTTTAGCACCCACGTCAGGCTTCTACAAGAAGGCAGCAACCTAAGCAAACAGATGCAACAAGGTGTGATCAGTGCTATTGATCCCAAATTATTCTGAATGCCTCCCTAGATAATATCTGGCCTCTATACAGCGTATTTCATATATATCTTACCATATAGTGTTTGGCCTTAAATAATACAAATGTGAACCCTTCTCATATATCAACATCTGATATTTCCTGAGCTAGCCCATCCCCAAAACTCAGCTCAACACTACTTGAAAATAATATGAGTCAGTGATCCTGGCTGATTACCAAGCCCTTGAGAGTGCTCCATCTTGCCCCAGATATATTTAATTTGTCAAGATATTTCTGAGTACAGGGATCCCTTCAAACATAATATATTTCAAACTCAGACCTTTTGGAAAAGTTTCAAGCTCCTACAAATAATGTAGAACGACAGTATAATTTCAGCTGAGGTTTATAGATGTCATCCAGAGTTCTATAATCACTGGTAGATTCCTCTCATATACTATATCAAGATTTGTGTCAAGATAAAACTAAAAATAGATTTATTATTTTAAAATTTTTGGAATTTTAGCTCTTCTCAGTTCCTCACATGACTGAGGTTTGCTATACACCATTTTGAAGAAACCACCCTCAAAGCTAAGAATGTCTGGGTGGCTGTGGTAGACACACCTGTAGACCTTCACAGCGTAGTAGTTTGGTGAGAATATTGCTGAGCAATAAGAAGTGTCAAGTGAGCTTGCTGGTAGTCCTGCTGTGGTTTTGGCAGAATCTGATATTTTGTTCAACTGATTAAAATCTTCTGAAGAAAATTATAAGATTTTATGTTTCACAGCCTGTGGAAATGCATCTTGAGGCATAAGATGATTGAAGTAATGGAACCATACATCTCAGAGACTGCATTAGCTGTCTTCTCTTTCCCGTTCCCATTTGATCAGCAGACCAGTGGCCATAGATATTATGGTTTCCTCTGCCAAAGGTTTTCTGTTGAATTGTTTCTGTAGTAGATCTATGAGTTCCTTAACAAGTTCAGGGAGATCTCATTTAGCCTTGCCTGAAAAGTAGGCTGTACACCTCATTTCACTCAATTAAAACAGAGAGGGCTTTCTTCAATATTGACAGTATTTTTAGGTTGCTAATAAATTCTGTTTATGGATGTAACCTCGCATATACACTCCTAGAACAATATTGTCCATGGTGGAAGAGTGCATCTGTTCAGTGCTGTAAACTGTAGGTTGCTAATGTAAAACTTGAGTTGCAAAGAACTGACATGGCACAGCCTGTTAAGAAATGCTGTAACTAATAGTGATCACAGAGGTGAAGAACTCAGCCTTTCAGACATCATTGCTCAATGAATATCCAATGAAGAGCATATGTAGTCAGTGTCAGAAAGTTTCCCAAGGCCAACTTCCAACAAATTACATTAGGGCCTAGCAAGATGATTTTAACCTTCAAATCAATAGCTTTCACCCAAAAGGGATTCATGTTGTGACAAGACAGATAACTGCTGCATAGTTAAAAGGCAAATTGGGAAACCTTGTATTTCTACTTAAATTAAATTCAGTATATTAGTAACACTGGTGTTTAGGCAACATTTCTAACAGCGGTATCTTAATAAAAACACTGATGTTGAGATAATTGCATTGTTCTGAAATGCTAGATGGGACTGACTAACATCTTGGTGGTTCAGTAATGTCTCATGAAAGTGCTTGAGGTTTTTCCACTTAAAATAAAGTTTTAAAATGTTTCTGGAAATATTCCATAATGTTTGCAAGTGAGATAGGAACACTTATCAGTTCTCACAGAGGCTGAGGTCTGATTTCCCACACTGTTCATAACATGACATTCAAAATGTAGGGGCCCTAAATGTTTCACCTTACTGGCAAGAAGTATCACTAATTTGAACCTTAAGTAGAATATTTATTCATTTCTTCTTAGTTCTGTGATATCATTTTCTATTGAATGGCTTACATGTTCTTTGTGATAATTCATAATGACACATGCTGTGGTGTTTTGTCTTCCATACAGTGTGTCTGAGATACCAGTCTGGTCTTGCATACAGTCTGCTACCTCCAAATCACTTGTAATTTACTCAAGATCTTCCCCTATTCCTGACAGTCCTGGCAAGCCTGCTTGCATTTCAAGACTATGTTTAGAGTTGTCCCCCTGTTTTTGTAATCTTCTCTGGCCCTGCATTAGCCTAGTTGATAACATTTTTTCCTCTTCTGAACCATAATGACTCCTTTCATTTATCAAGCAATAGACTTTTTCCTTACCCTCATGTACCCTCTTTGATGCTGGTGACAAAGCCTTCTTCATTTCCTACTCTTCTTTGGCATACGCATCTTTCTTTTGCTATGAAGTTTCAAGTTAACTGAGAATCTTGGGCTTTTATTTCATGCCATGATTTTTATTTCACTGCATAACATGTTTATGGCATGCTTAAAAGGTATTATCCAGTGCAGAGATGAACTGTGATCTGGAAAGACTTGGGGGACACCTGTTTATGCTACAGTCTTTTGGACCTCTGCTCCTTTCTGTGTAAGCATTGGACCTCCTATATATTTATTTAGATTTTCAGTTGAAGTCAATCAAAACCTCTGGAATCATATCCTTTGCCGTTATTTTTCTAAAAATGTGACTTTTTCCCCAGAGAGACAGAATTTTTTCTTTTTTTTTTTTTTATGAAAAAAAGGTTTTAAGTATGATTGGCAGTTAACCTATGGTAAGGAATTAGTTTCCACAAGCACT